CTCTGGCCTCTCAGTCACTGACGAAAGCTAGTGGATACTAGCTGAAACGTCTGACCGTTTCCAAAATCATATCCAGTTGCTTGAGTAACTGCTTTTTGGCGTATATATTAGGTTACTGGTTCTGTGTATGCAAAAGACAAGTCATTATAGAACCATGTCACTCTTCTCAGTGAGTAATACGTGTGCATGAAACTGGCTGCTTGAATATTAATGTTAAGATTGTTTGCTGACGTATGTGCATTGCAAATGATGGAATCAGCAGAAAAAAATGTATAGAACCTAACATATCTCTGGTAGGAATATTAAAAATCATCTGATTTTGTCTGAAATATTATCTAGGTCTGTGTTTTGTAGTCACTTATATCCAAATAATGCTATTAACTGTTAAATGTGGACAAACAAGCTGTAATGGCTACTATAAAGTATTTGTCCAGACAATTATGGTTGTCAAATAATACCAAAACCATTTTATACACATTGTAGCCTAGCATGGCGGCATGGTTCATATGAATTTTCAGTTTGGGGCAGAATTTATTTCAGAAATATGGCGTCACAAAAAAGGTGTCAGGGTGCCCCAAAAAGTATTAGGGTGCCACAAAAATTTTATCAGGGTGCCAAAAAAAAAAGAATCAGGTTGCAGCATCCCTGTTCACCGTATTTAGTACAAACCTTATTTCCAAGTGTATGTTTGGTAGAAGATTGTGTTAAACGTTTTCGTGCGACTAGGCTTCTCTAACAGTTATCTACTCCTACCAACTGTCAGAAAATATCAATTCACCCTTTCAGCATATGCTTGGAGCATTGAGCCATGACTACGGCATAACAACCTGTCTACAAAAAAATACCATTGGCAGAAGAAACAGACCTTTCAAGCAAGTAAAAAAGCCTCAGTTGCCACTTTCTGTGTAAGAACTCGTGTAGAATGCCTCAGACACCGGTTAATGCTGCTAGAAAATGTCATAATTCACAATTTCAGCATATGCTTGGAGAATTAAGCCTTGACTACAGCAGAACAACCTGACTACAAAAAAAACAAATACCATTGTCAGAAGAAACAGACCTTTCAAGCAAGTCAAATAGCCTCAGTTGGCGGTCTCTGGGTAGGAAATCGACTTGTAGAATGCCTCAGACACCGGTTGCTGTTGTTCTTGTTCTTGTAGGGTGCGTCCTTCGGTAGCTTATCCGTAATGCCGTGTGACAAACAACCCAAGGTAAGCCTTATACACATGTGGTGCTAATTGTCTGAAGCTGGCTATTTGAATACTATAAATATCTATGCTTACGTACTATAATTTCAATAATATTAATATTCAATATGCTTACGACGAAAATCGTAATGGTGATTCAGGTCTTGTGATACAGGAGTTATGCACTTCTAGTTGTTTTTTTTTTTCTCATACCTTCACATTTACTACAAGCAATGTGCAAACCAGGATAATGTCCAGTTTTACAGGCACCTTGTACCTTCTACTATATATGCACAGGGTCCATAATGCTTGTATGTACATTCGATATAACATATGCTTAAGCTGGCATCATACATAGAAAAATAGTTCGCACAACAAGTCTACAAGTGGGGTCGTGTGGCGTAGTGGCAGAGTGCGCAACTCGGAACTTAGAGTCCTGGGTTCGAGTCCTGACATGCCACCGATCTTGTGCCCTTGGGAAAGGCACTTTACACGACTTTCCTCACTCAGCTCAGGTGTAAATGTGTATTGTCCTGTCATGTATTTGTCCCCTGTGTTGGTGGCGGCATTAATATAAGTTGAAAAAACTTGAGTGTGTCGTCACCACGTCTGGTGATTACATGTTGGAATAAAAAAAAAGTCTACAAGCTCAGAAGGACGTTTTCAGCAGTAATGTACGTCTTCTCTATCATTATAATTCTTAGGAATCTGGCACAGAGCAGACTTTCAAGCGTAAAATACACTCCAGCTCTGTAGCGAGATTCAGTGACCTTTTTATAACGATTAATAAATTCATGACTGTTGTTCAGAAGAAGAGTTAATTGGTCCAGCCGTTGATGACGCTGAATTTGAATCAGCCAATGCAACGCCTTTTAACAGTTGACTTGTAGTAGGTGTCGGAATTGCACGCTGGCAACTGGCAAGGTTTGTCAACCGTTGTTTTGCCATGTCTGCTTCAAGCTTGAAGCCACACTCTTCGGCAAGATTCCTCGCTTCTTCAGCCTTCTCTTGTGAGAGTGTGTAGCCTTTCTCTCTGTAGTACAGATCTGATTCAGTCAGGAGGAAGCGACAACGCCCTCTCTTCGGCATCCCCTGCCACAGCTCCTTCCGAACCGTTTCGATGCTTCTTCGGGCGGCCTCGACGTTTCTCGGGTTGACGGTTCGTGCCCGTCCTTGTTGGGAATCGCACACGAGAAGAGCCGAGGCGAGCTTGGTGTGGGCTCGCCTCTGGTGGGCCACGCAGCCCGACGGGTCCTTCCGCCAGTGGCAAATGGCCAACTCTAGGCTTTCACGAACCTTCAAAATAAGACAAGAAATTTAAAAAGTCAATGTCTGATAAATTTAAAGTCAATGTCTGATACGAGAAACGGGGTTGTGCTTTCTCCTGCAACATCAACAATTTGTTGATGATTCAAGTGAGAATTTTTTTTTTTGGGGGGGGGGCGGAGTTACCTTCACTGTAAAGAGAGTATATTTGCCATAAATTTGCCAAGATTCTGTTGCAGTGTAGGAATCTTATCGATACCCAAAGAAAAATAAAATAAGATATGTTATTGCAATGTTTTCAAACGCTACCTCACATCATACAGGACCATTAAAGAAAAAGACAACAATTCGATATAGAAGCCTCTATACATTACCTCATCGAACATCCTGTCAGATGGGCAGCTGTCGTTTGCGATCATGTCGGTGTACAGCGACCCTTTGTTGTAGCAGGCGTTTCCGGTGTCCTCGCCGATTTCAAAGTCGGACAAAGCCTGGAGATATAGTGTATAGTAAGGGTCTGGTGGTTACATTTGTCATAGGTCATTGTACATACATAGTTTAATATTGGAGGTTTTTTACGGAGTCTACAAGAGACACAACCACCGAGAAGGATCTCAAACAGCCTTTTCTGTAACAAGTCAGCTGAAGACGCAAGCACGACCAAGAATTCCCTTGGTCCACCATCGCCCGAAGATCGACAACATATGCTGTTATTGTTCAATATTTCCAACTACTTTGTAACATGTAATATTTCAGTGTTTGAGAATTCAATTTTTTACACCCATTTAATCATATGAGTTAATCTTTTGCCCGTTGGGTATGGATATGAAACAAAAAGGCCAAAAACACACATTATAATTATCAACTAGATGTTGTAAGATTAAAATGTCGTAACATACCTGCTGTGCATGCTCCATACACCTCTCCGCAACCCCGTACTTCCTGGCGACCTGGTAGATAGCAGACAGCAGGTAGTAGGTCCGCCCGGCCAGCATGGTGCTGTTGTCCGCTGGTCTCTTCTTCAGCGTCCTCAGCGCGCCTTTTGCGATGGTCACCGCTGCTCCCAGGTTCCGCTTGTAGTACTCCGCAAAGGCTTGCTGTGTGTGTGGAATGCAATTTTTAAAGGGTCTTTCTTTATGTGAAGAGTTATTTTTCTTATAGTTAGTTTTTTTTCAGATGTAATTTTCAACGAGTCTTTCCTTATGTAAAGTGTTATTTTTCCTTATCATGTTTCTTTATTATGTTATATTTCAAGAGTTATTTTTCTTTTAGCTTTTCACAAAATCGACCGCATTCTATTGGTACACATAAAGTTTCATTTTCAGAGAATGACACTTAATTTAACCGTTAGTCATAATGTCTGAGGCTAGCGAATTTGCCTAGTGGAAAACAACATGTGGATTGAAGACTGTACATTGGTGACAAGCGTCTTCAGAAATTTGTTCCTCAGTTTTCAAAATCAAAAGTGTCAAAACTACTACTATTTCTAGTCGGAGTGAAAAGATACAGACAACTCACCTCCAACACGACGACAAGGTATAAGTCCACGTCTTTTCTTTCGTACGTTTTCACCAGCTGGACAGAGAAGTAGTCAAATTCTGCCCATTTTCCTGTAAAAGGAGTGCATAAACTATATAAGGATTCTCATATTGCCAATTCTCAGTGAGAACTTTTAACACTCCAGAGCAAAGCCAAATATGTGTAAGTAACATGGTTTACCTTTTAATTCTGGTAGTAATGTTGGCAAATTTGCTAAAATTCTTAGTTAAAAAGACTAGCTATATAGGCTTATCTCCAAGCAGATCTTTTGGTGGGGGTAAGACAGTATCAAATTCGCCAGCCTGTATCCATTTCCCCCATTTAATGATACCAAAGTGACTTAATTGAATTGTCTATATGTTTATTACATGGTTATCAACCGTAGTGACAGCAACAAACGTGTAGTCACACTTACCCTCCTCTCCCAACATTTCCAGGCGACTCAAGACCTGGCCGTACGTTTTTGTCTTCAGACTGCCTGTAAATGAAGTAAATAAAAGTCGATGAATTAAATATGAAATTCTCATGAAAGTCCATCTGTGTTGGTAGTAATCATAGTAAAATGTGGAACTTTATTCAAACACAATAATATCAGTAGACAAAATCAAGACGTTCTGATATTGAAAACGGTAGATTAGATTGTAGTGGATTTTGTAGATTTGCTTTCAAAAAGGTTTGTTTAAGTACCTGTTCGTTTTGTACGACTCATCGTTCTAGGCACGAGGGCACATGAACTGTCTGTCATCTCTTTTGATCCATGGATCCAAACATCTTTCCATCTTGTGGTCTTCAAATCGTCGCCATCTCTGTCCCTGACTTCTGTTTCCGAGTTGTTCTTTCGTCTCCTTCGAGAGTTGCAAGTTTCGATGCTTATCGTCACTTCGTCCACGAGTTCTATGGTCTCGGAGTCACTCGGCAAGGGTTCGGGTGATTCCAGAAACGTCTCGTCGTGCCGAAGTGTGGCGACTCGGAGACCAAGGGTGACGTCAAATGTAGTTGCCGGTCCGAAGAATCGTAGCCAAAATCCGCAGACATTTTTGGTCAGTGTTATCTGTGAAGGGTCTGGGAGTAACGGGCAGTACTGGCAACGGGACGGCCTCTCGCAGTGATCATCGCTACTGGACACATTACTGATGGAAGTTACGTCTATAAGGTACCGGCGAGACTGTTGGAAAAAAAAGATGAAAGGCTTCGAACTGAGGGTTGGTATTGATCATACAAAACATGGAATCTACAAGCATATATTTTGGTGGCTGCTAAACAGTATCAAAATTGGCATGGATTCGTGAAATGTATATTGTATGTATTCTGGATTAACATTACTTAGTATATCGAGAAACTTACACAGGAAAAAAAGGTTACTTAAGCAACTGGAAAGACTTCAAAAGACATTTTGTGATTTTCAAAATCTATCTACTAGTTGCTTGAGTAACAGTTTTCTTTTGTATCTCATTACACAAGATGTCTAACCTTCATTGATGTAAGGAAAAACTTAACAAATTTGTCTGGAAGCTAATACTAGTTTCTACAGTTTCTCTACTTACAGGATCATTGATGTCCGTTCCCACAATGCCGTTCGACAGGTTCTCGCTGAAGGTCAAGGTCATGAGCTCGTTACTGATGACGTCACTTTTGACCCCGAACAGTAGACGACAGTCTTCCTCAGGGTCGGGATCACGTGACCGCCTGCGGAGCGACGTGATTGGTCCAGTGGGCTTGTGCACAATGCACAGTACGGGGGTGGGCGGCTCGTCATCTATAGGATGAAAAAGACACAAAATGTCTTTCTAGCTTCACCAAAAGTCAATCATAGTTTACCAAAAGTTAATATTACTATCATTTTTTTTCATTTATATATCCTTGTACACAATTATTCTATCATTTCATTCACATACCTTATTTAGGATCCGAAAGAAAAAAAAAGTGTGCTAAAACCTTGTCATCTATACGCAATACATTAAACAAAACAGACAAAGCATTTAATGAAAAACAAGACTTGAACCAACATGCACACGAAAAACTACTTTTTCCATTGATGTAAGCATAAACAATATCTCCATCATAGTAAAATTTTACACCCTTTATTCTCATTAAAAAAAGGAGATTTTAATAGACCCCCAACGGAATGGCCCAACCTACCAACAGGTGGTTGTTCTTCTTGCATCCCATAATGTACCACGGAGTTGGCGCCTACGTTCAGGATGCGGACGTTGGTGGAATCGGTGACGTAAGCGGTACACTGCATCCCTGTGACGTCACCGATCTCAGATACGGCTCCTGCACATGCGTAAAACTAGTCGTCAGGATTTGAGAACAACTATAATGTTAGAAGTAGCACTGATCTTTTCCATTGTTAATGCAATTTCATGAATTTGCAATAAAGTCTGTTTTAGCATATTTTCATGCATACGACTTACATTGGAATCCAAAATGTATTGCAATTACATGTAAATTAAATAGTTTTTCTAATTCTCTGGGTTGACATCTTGAAAAAAGTAATATCTTGACATTACATTATTATCTTGAATGTATAATGTCCTTTGTAATTAATATATTCACCTGTCCAATATGTCAATTCTTCTACAAATGTGGTAAACCTTAAAGAATAAATTCCATAAAAACGTTCCAAAACACTAGTTACCTTGTCTTTCTGTCACATCTACGATGTCTTCTAAATCGTGACCTTGAACTTGTCTTTTGCACACAGTTCCATCTTGTGGCTGTTCGGAGTATTCTTGTTCAGTTGTTGCATCATCTGGTTGCTCGGTTTCCTCATCCTCATTGATAAGTAATTCTGAACCATGAATGTTTCTAGGTACTCCTCTTTCAGTGTATGGTGATGATGTTGTTGTGTCATCTTGTTCCTCGGTTTGCTCATCTTCACTTCTAAGCAATTCTAAACCATGATGGTTGCTAGATACTCTCCTTTCAGCGTTATAACTACCACCTGTAACACAAAAACCTAAAGTCAGGATAGGGTACCAATCTTTAAAATTGTAATAAGCATCACTAATGTTTCCAGAATAGTGGAAAAATGAACTAGGCCCACAATGTTTTTGTTTTCATTACGTACAATGTGCAAAAACCATATGTAAAGCAACACGCAACAACAAGAGAACACAGAAACCATACGTCATCAAACGTCATGGTTGATTAACCAATCAGATAAATATCCTACTCTTATATCCACCTGTGTAAGTCAGTATCGACAAATTATCTATGTCTTTAGATCATCAATACTTGACAATATCACTAAATCCACGTGGAAAATATCATTATAGTTTTCAATGTTTTCTTTTATGGTAACTTTAATTTTTGTTGTCTTTTGGGATTATTGCTATTGTTGGCTGTCATACTATTGTTTCGCAAGACATTGCATGTGACCTGGACTGAGGATAATGACGTCACCACTTTCCCTTTCAATTGGCCAAGCGGGGAATCCCCTTTCCCTTTCGGTACTTTTCCACTCCTCATGAATTATTTAAAGAGCACCACGTATGAAAACAATACTACACAGAAGTGTTGCTACCCAATCCCCACGTATACACACGCAAACTGTATTCTACAATTGGTTTAACATATACAAAATGGAGGTCGTTGGTAGCGGACATATTTATTAAACAGCAATTCTTTTGATTTAAGCATTTTGAATGAGCCAACTCGAAGATTTCGCCACGTAGCATTTTATGTTTCTGTCTTCCCCTAAACAACCTGTTATATATGACAAATCGTCTTAAATGATTACGCAAATTGGGTCTTAATTAGGATAATTATTGCCTGAAAATTGTTGAATTTGCCTAGAGCTCGCTGGTGAAACCGGAATTTCAATGCAAATTTAAGATTAATACACCATCAGTAATCCCAAGGGTGTACGCACTTCAGGTATTCAATTGTGTTTAAAACATTCTTGTAATGTGTTGGGAATCCAGTAGTTGACGTTATACAGCAACTATTTCGAAAATTGTCTTACTTCTTACTTGTTAGAATTATTTACGGAATAAATATTTACGAAACTGTATACATATACAATATATACTTAAATATTTACGAAAATGTATGTACATGTGCTATGTATACCTAACCATTTACGAAAATGTATACATGTACCGCATGTACAACATGGATACATGCACAACGTTATATCGTGAGTCTTGGCCAGTACATACCTTGAAGGCCTAACAGTAGCCCTTTAATCAGGGACCGGAGCCACATCAGTCCAGAGAAAAATGCCACCAACAACAAGACCGCTCCAACCACCACAGTGAATAGTAGAGCATCCATGTTGGCACACCGACAACATCCGCGTAACGACTCAGACTGGTGTATTGGTGTCGGAACACGGTAAAGAAGCTGCTGTGTTACGCAGAAGGGTGGTTATACCGGCTATACAGATACAGAATGAGTCTTGCGTTAGCCAAACCCCGCGCCCATAGAAATCGCCTCGAGCAAAGAATTCCCTCAATGAGATCATGTGTCCTCCAACAAGGTCTTAGGATTTAAACCTCCTAGCCTTGGTTCCAAGTTGTCTTGTAGTGAGTCCAGCGGGTCCTTGTTTACAGTGACTAGACTATACTAATCACAAAGCTTGGCAGGTTAAGTGTGCCCATAAATCGCCTTGCCGAAAAGGTAAACGAGTATGTCCGCCTGTCGCGACGCCACGCATGGCTTAATGTTGATCAACAAAAGAGCGCGTGTAACGTTACACCGACTAGATGCGTATGACTCATCGGCTGTATTTTTCCTTTCACTGAAATAATAATATTATAAATAGTCCTGGCGGTTTTCTTCTCCGCCACGTAGCCTTTCTCTAGCTTGTCTGAAATCATTACTCCTGAAAACAGGAAGGGCGTTGAATCAGAGGTTTGTGTTATGATTGTTGACGCCCAGAATGATCTGTCTGTGACAGGTCAGAGGTAAAATGTCATGGCTACACCTGCAGGTATCATATTGCATTGCTGTGATACATGGCAAAGTCGCAAGGGGGCGCTAGTGTATGGGTCATGGCACAGAGAAAGCTAGGAAGGAACTCCATTTTTCTAGGGCTGAGGTTATATGATCCTGTCAATAGTGGTAATATTTGCACTACTGAGAGGCCCATCCTGTCAATTGTAAAACTTTCTTGATGATATGATGATAATTATAGGCATAATGTTATAATGTTAATAATATCTCTGTCTTAAGCTTGATATGTTAAAGGAGGTAATTTTTTCAGTACCTGTTTTGTTCTTTGTAATATGAAACTAAGCAAAAAGGATTTAAAAAAAGACTTTTAAATTTCTTAGGTGCTGAAACACGATCCTTTGCTTGTCTCGCAAACTGGGCATTATCCTGGTTTGCACATTGCTTGCAGTAAATGTGAAGGTATTGAAAAAAATAAACGTGCATAACTCTTTTATCACAAGACCCGAATCACCATTGCAATTTTCGTCGTAAGCATATGTATTAATATTATTCAAATAGCCAGCTTCAGACAATTAACATTAGGTAAGGCATATGCTGGGTTGCTTGTCACACGGCATTACGGATCAGCTACCGAAGGACGCACCCTACAAGAACAAGAACAACAGCAACCGGTATCTGAGGCATTCGGCACGAGTTCCTGACCAGAAAGTGCCAACTGAGGCTATTTGACTTGCTTGAAAGGTCTGTTTCTTCTGCAAATGGTTTTTTTTTTTTGTAGTCAGGTTGTTCTGCTGTAGTCATGGCTTAATTCTCCAAGCATATTCTGAAATTGTTAATTATGACATTTTCTAACAGCATTAACCAGTGTTCTACACGAGTTTCTACCCAGAGAGTGCCAACTGAGGCTATTTGACTTGCTTGAAAGGTCCGTTTTTTGTAGACAAGTTGTTATGGCTGAATTCTCTGGGCATATGCTGAAATGATAAAGGTCTACCCGTGCTCCATGCAGAGCATAGGGTTTGGTGCCCATGTCATTTCTGTAGCCCTTGGGCGACACACAGATTGTGCAAGGCACTACAGCAGGGGGCTAGTCCGCTGGTAGTACTGTGTGTTTGACCTTCCAACACTCTGTGCTGAGTGCTAAGCAGAAAAAGAAGTGTGTACCATTTCGGTATGATCCGGCCGGGGTTTGAACTCACGACCTCCCGGTTACAAAGCGAGCACTGTACCAATTGAGTTATTGCACCGGTACTGAAATGATAAGTGGTGATATTTTCTAACGATGTTGTCTGACATTTACGGTGTATTTCTGTTTCCTTGGACCCGATTCATTCAAACTACCATGTAAGAAAACTACAGGAGCCGAGCTGTTTCGCATCCAACAAAACGTGGCCACACCCGAAAATAAAAAAAAGAAAAACAGCCCGTAAACTAAACTTTTTTCCAAATGTAATCTGACGAAACAGTCGTATAATGTTTGTAAAGGTCTGTCAGAAATACGCAGATAATTCTTGTAAAAGAGGTATTAAATTTTCTATCCTTCAGCTGATGTCCTTATATGGAAGGTACAACCAGGATGATGAAAATATCAGATGCAAAATAGTAAACAATAGTGATTAATTGAATATTCAAGCAGCCAGCCCCAGACAATTAACACTACGTAGTACGAAATAAGCCACGCCACTGCATGAATTTTCTTTTCTTGAAATATAAAACACGTTATATTGCAAAGAAAATGTAGAAAGTATAGTAACAACTTGCAATTGCATGTAATAGTGATAGTTTAGCTCTGTTTTCCTCTCAAAAATACGTTATTGCGCCCTTTTTTTTATAATGTGCTAACGTAAACAATAGCCTGGGTAGTGACAGAACACTCCTGGCTAATCATTGCTTTACAGCAATTGCAGGGTTCTAGCTATACATGTAGATGTCCTGATGGTGGAAAGAAGATTGCCGTGTGCTTTGTATTATGTTCTTTTAAATAACTGGAGGTTGTTTTCAGACCACGTTGTCTGGGAGACTGTCCCAGACTGTTTTCTTTCTAAAAATATTAAACCTAATCGCATGTACTTTAAGCAAAGATTTAGGTTTTGTCTTATTTTGACGTCTTTTTAGGTGCTTTCAACTGGCTTCATATTTTTACTGGTATATGTTGGTTCACCTACCACATATATTCTCCAATGAGAGTTTCAGACTTTGACTTTATGACATATTCTATGCGTTTTTATCGGGCTCTCTTTTTTGTATTGGCATCTTTTCTTCGCTAACCAAACATACTCTCCGAGAAGAGGTTTAGGGTTTACAGCCTTCTGCTTATTTTTTGATATGTTAATTGCATTTTTCGCTGAGTGGCGTATTGCATAATGCCCTGCAAATGGTGTTCTTGCCAGCCACCACATGACCTGTCTGGAGATTATAATTCAATGGTTTGGGGAGGGAAATGAATACTTTATATTTTATATTAGGAGATATTTTATGGTCCAATGAGCAATGGGATTGGAAGGGTCTCTAGTATTCAGAACCATTCCCAGTACACGCGTCCACTCGCGTATACAGAACCGTGCACATGCATGGAGCCAATATTCGTGCTTGGATACGCGGAGATACGTGACTGATCCTAACCCTAACCCATTCAGACCTAGAAGTAGAAACTGGATACGATAGAGTGTATACAAAAAGCCATGCTCATTGCTTACTACCATTGAAACTGTATGTATTAAATCTGGTGTCTGGTGTCATAAGAAAATCAATCTTTTTTTAAATCCCAAGACAAAGTTGATATAACTTCATAGAGCGTGTTCCTGTTTCTTTCAGGACCCATGGAAAACAAGCTGCGACACCTTCTGATTTTCCTTCTCATCATCTTGAAGGAGATCAACACGCCATCAGCTGGCAGTGACTTGCCGGGCTTATGTAACCACTGTAGACCATGGAGGGATTGCCACTGCAGCAGCAGGAACTTTACCACCATCCCTCAAATCTTCTCAACCGAAACCACAGCGTTGGTTTTGGCGGGTAATCTGATTACAGTTGTAAATCGAACTGAATTGTTAAGGTACAAGCGTTTAAAATGGTTGAATTTGCAATATAATCGTGTTAGCATTGTTGAGTGTTTCCCTAATCTACCTAGACTTAGATGTTTGCAATTACAGGGCAACCAAATAAGTAACATCCATCCTGGAACATTCAAAAATCTACCCATTCTACAGGAGATAGATTTAAACAGTAACAAAATAACCAACATACCACTTGGAACATTCGCAACTCTAGCCAAGCTCGAATATTTGTACCTGATTAGGAACCAGCTGACAATGATTCAGTCTGGTACATTCGCAAACATCCCGCAGCTCAAAAAAATATGGCTGCAACAAAACCCAATAACAGAAATTCAACCTGGCGCATTTGCGAAACTCCCTCAGCTCAAATGTCTGGGGCTGGGCTACCTCAAGATAACAGCAATTCAGTCTGGTGTATTTAAAAATCTACCACAGCTCGAAGATTTGCAAATGGAATGCAACTTCGCGATAACAGTGATTGAGCCTGGTGCATTTCAAAATCTGTTTCGGCTCCAAATGTTATCCATATCCACAAACTCGATAAGGAAGCTTCAGGCAGGTACATTTGCAAATCTTTCCCGGCTCGAAGATTTGAATCTCCTCTGGAACCGGATAAAAACTATTCAAGCAGGTACATTTGTAAACCTACCCCAGCTGAAAACGTTGCGGCTGAGTCAAGGCCTAATAACAAAGATTCAGGCTAGCACATTTGCAAACCTACCCAGGCTCGAAACGTTGACTCTGAACGACAATAAGATAACAAAGGTTGAGGCAGGTGCATTTGCAAACCTACCCAGGCTCGAAACGTTGACTCTGAACGACAATAAGATAACAAAGGTTGAGGCAGGTGCATTTGCAAACCTACCCAGGCTCGAAACGTTGACTCTGAACGACAATAAGATAACAAAGATTGAGGCAGGTGCATTTGCAAACCTACCCCTTCTCAAAAAGTTGTGTCTGGAGATCAACCAGATAAATATAATTCAGCCCTCTGCGTTTGCAAACATATCACGGCTAGAGAATTTGGACCTTAGCTATAACAGGCTGAATGCTATTTCTCCTTCGGCGTTGTTGCCATCTATTACCACCATAAAACTTGACAGAAACCCCTGGCATTGTGACTGTAGAATGGTGCCCTTCAGGCTAAATACAACTAAATTTCCTTCATTCAAAGACCAGATAATATGTAAGAAACCCGTCATATTCATGTATAAGAAGCTCAAAGACGTCAATCCTGAAGAAATGACATGTGAAGAACCAGCCTACAGTGTCAACACTAACTGTTGATATCCAAACCTCATTCACCTCATCTGAGGTGTCAAC